TTATAGGTAAGTAGTGGGATTATTAGTGGAAGCCAATATCAACACATCCAACTAATACAGTACTTTAAAACAAGAGCCCCATGGGCCTAACAGGTCACCTGAGTTGTAATGCAATTGTTATTTGTTGTTGTGATATGTCAAAAATAAAAATTACATATATATATATGTATAGCAGGGAATTTTGCCCCTCACCAGGGAGGAATTAGTACCCAAGGGGTTGTGAAATTCACATTTTGATTAAGCACATCAGGATATTTCCATCCATGAGAAGGTTTTTTAACATATCTGGATCTGGAAGTAGACAATTATTGTTTGAGCTATTTTGGCCCCTTTTGGCTCCGCCCCTCAGGCCCTTAGCGTCCACATGATCACATCATGTAAATGTATCCCCTCCCCAAGAGTAAAAGGGCGACAATTGAAAAAAAAAACCTTAAGATATACACCTCATATACATCAGATATACACCTTCTAAACATCAGGTATATACCTTCTATACATCATGTATACACCTCCTATAGGTCAGGTATACACCTTCCATGCATCAGGTATATATACCTTCTATACATCATGTATACACCTCCTATAGGTCAGGTATACACCTTCCATGCATCAGGTATATATACCTTCTATACATCAGGTATACACCTCCTATAGGTCAGGTATATATATACACCTTCCATGCATCAGGTATATATATACCTTCTATACATCAGATTACACCTATACATCAAGTACATCTTGTATGCATGCACATATACATGAGGTATATGTAAGGTCCATATTCTCTGTAGGTAAGGTACCTCATCTTTATAATAGTTGTCTGATATTGGTTCATATTGATTGCATGCACAGGAAATATAACATGTTTGCTTGTGCTGGAGTTTCCCATTTATGTTCCCTTATTGTGGCCTCTCAAGAACAAGAAGCACAGGCACATTATTAATAGCTCACCTGGAATAATATTTTTCATTAAAAGTTGTTGATTACCTCTTACCATACAGGAAATATCAGCTTGGGGATCTCAACAATTTCCATGTTATGACTGAAGGAGTAAGTCCTCAGGGATGGGGTGGGCTCCATTAGGGACTATCTTGGTATCATGAGTGTTTTTCCTCTGCATGCCCAGCAGCATTTGGATGGGATCTTTACTGATTTCATGTAAAATTTGGGGACTATAAGCCCCTTGTGGTAGGGCAGGACCCTGGCGCCAATCATGTAAGCATGGATGTATTCAGATGGTTACATGGTGGGGGATCTTAATTATCTTTACACCCAAACTTCCTCTATTGGCACCCAAATGCTCTGGCCCAGTGACTGCTTTGCCTCTGTTTTTTTCAGACCTGAGATATGCTACAATTACAAGTTTTTGAAGATGAAATGTCTTATTTTCCTCTTTACCGGAAAACATACCATGTATATACTTTGTATCATGTACATTGTATCTTCTGGAAAATGAGTCAATACACTATATATAATAGAGATGATAAATACAGGTACCTTATGCAATGAGGCTGTATTATAGAGGATACCCTTACTAAATAAATAATGACTCTTTATGAGGTAAATCCATAAACAAATTTCAGCAAGTAGATGATATACATATATATTTGAAAACTATATATATATAAAACAAGGCAAAGTATTACGTGTAAGGCAATCCATAGTCCCCCAAAGGTAATGATTTATGTCAGAATGTATTTACTGTTAGGAAAGTATCCTGATACATACTTCTTGCATTCCTCCATCCCAAGATGTCCTTGTACACCAAATCTGGTTACTCCAGGTGAAATAGTATAGAAGTACAGGGTGCAAACCTATAATCCTCCCGGGAACCAGTGGGAGACTAAAAAGGTAGTAGTGTATATAGAATATATGAAAGTGGTAAACTTTTTATATACTCTGTATACAACTTTGTACACCACTTGCACACCACTTTTTCTTTACTATGTACAGACATTTAACATTCTCTATATACTCTGTTTGTCACTTATTTATACTCTGAATACAACTCTCTGTATAATATTTATACCACCCTCTATGCTCTGTATACCATTCATAATATACTATGTAGGCCAATTTTTTATACCCTGTATACCGCTCTTTATATACTATGTTACAAGACCAATCCTTATATACCCTGTATATCACTGTTTATAAGCTGTATACCACTCCTTATATACTGTGTATACAACTCCTTATATTCTGTGTAAACCGCTCTATATGCTGTGTTTACTGCTTCTTACATACCCTGTATACCACTCTATGTATACCATGAAAATCACTCTTTATATACACTGTATACCACCCTGTGTACTCTGTAAACCACTTTTTATGTACCCTGTATACCACTCTCTATATACCATTCTTTATATACTCTGTAAACCACTTCTTATACACCCTGTTTACTAGTTTGTATAATCTGTATACCAATCATTATATAACCTTCTCAATATTTCTTTATAAAGATATCTTTGTTGTGTTTTATAATAAACAAGAGGCACGGAGTTAGGACAAGTCTCCTGGCAAAATTCTAACAAAAGTGTATCCAAATTTTGATGCTCAGCAATATATATATATATACTACTACAGCCAGGTATAACACATGTAGTTACTACTTATACAGACAGGTATTACACATGTATATATTATCACAGATAGGTATTACACATGTATATATTATCACAGATAGGTATTACACATGTAATTACTACTACAGCCATGTATTACACATGTAGTTACTACTACAGACAGGTATTACACATGTATATTAACACAGATAGGTATTACACATGTAATTACTACTACAGCCATGTATTACACATGTAGTTACTACTACAGACAGGTATTACACATGTATATANGGGGGGAGGCGGTTGAATGGAAAATAGTTTTATTTATTTATTTTCTCATTATATAAATATCTGTTTTAACATGATATCTTGTATTTGAATGGTAATAAAGTGCATGCTGTAAGTGTTACCATGTATCTGGCTTGTGTGAAATGCCTTTTAGGTCACAAAATACAATTGTATCTCTACAAAATATATCTTGATCAATATCTCAAAGACATAAGAACATGCACCTGATGATGAAATATCACTTATCTGTATACATATGTATCAAATAATGAAATATTACTTCTTGTCTGTAATAGTACAAGTAAATACAAGTTTATAACCAGTTTGAAACACTGAATTAATGTTCCTTACATGACAGTATATTGATAGAACATAGAATTACAAATACATAAGTATGTTCCTTAATGTCTGTGATAGTTAAAACAATTTTATCTGAAACAATATAATTAAAGATCCATAGCCTGTCTGTGATAATAAATACAGGTGTATGACCAGTCTGAAACAGTAAATAAAAAAATATGTTCCTATGTCTATCTATATGTTATACTCCACAGAGACTTTAATGCGGTCTGTGATAAACAGCCCGAAACAATTAATAAATGTTCCTATTATGTTTGTTATAGTTAATACAAGTTTATAACCAGTCAGAAAACAATTAATAAATGTCCATTACCTGTCTGTAAATTTGTACGGGTAATATTACAATTTTATCAAATTACTTTAAAAACATTAAGAGGAAATCCGTGAAGAAAATCAAGATAAACCATTTTAATGAATAAATTGTAAGTAATACATGCAGTAGGATCGTTTTCCTTCAGTTATGAAATACATAGGAACATCCATTTCTCCACCACTTACCCCCCATCTACTTTATAAAGCTTAACCTTTTAAAATAATGTTAATACCGCTATAACCAGACCTATTTGGTGGCATTAAACTCCTACTTTCACTTTCACATACTTCATTTCCGGTTAAGAGATACGTACGAAACTAAGGCTTTCGATTTAATGCTTTACCGAGCGCTGTGGAGGAGGGTTTATTATCTCAAATTCAAATCTCGTTCTTTATAAGATATCTTATAACCGAATTATATAAGATATCTCATTTAATTTTGTTTATAAGATATCTTATATATTATATAAGATATCTTCTAAAAGATATAAGATATCTCATTTAATTTTCTTTATAAGATATCTTATATCTTTTATGAGATATCTTATATAATATATAAGATATCTTATATCTTTTATGAGATATCTTATAAAGAAAGGTATATAAGATATCTTATAAAATATATAAGATATCTCATTTATTATATAAGATATCTTATAAAGTATATAAGATATCTCATAAAGTATATAAGATATCTTATATAATTAAATAAGATATCTTATATAATTTGGTTAAGTACTGGATCAACATTGCTCCATGAATAAATAACAACTTGGCTTGCCATAGCAGCCTCTAGAAGACGTGCTCTGCATGATTCTCGGGGGAGAAATTAGTTTCTCATTTTTAAAGCTCTATATAATAAATATCATAACGTAACGAGCTTTCCATAATATAAGATATCTTATATACTATGTGAGATATCCTTTATATATGATATCTTATATACTATATGAAATATCTCATATAGTAATTGAATGAGATATCTTAATTCAGTACATGTACAAGTACATATATAAGATATTTCATTTATCATATACATGTAAGATATCATTTAAATACTATAAAAGATATGTTTTAATACTATATAAGATATCTCGTATACTGAATAAGATATCTTCTATAGTTTTATGAAATTCGGGATCAACATTACTCCTTAAATAAATGTTCAGTTGGCTTGCCATACTATTCTTTCCCGAAGCCTGCGAGGGGATAGAAATAGACTTTAGATGCCAAAATGCTTAAAAAATCAAATGTAGGATAAAAGCCAAATACATTATATGTATAATCTAGTATAAAATGAATGATGCAGGGGTATGTGGTGAACCTTTATCATGATATGATTTAACTATTTAGAAAGTGTATAAATAGTCAGATATAAAATTTCTATGAATAAATTCCTAGGTTTGAAGTTCTTTCTCTGTTCTTATACAATAAAAAGAACTGAATTATTTAAAATAAAAGTTTACCTACCATTTAGGCCGGCAAGGGTGGCCAGCAGTCCAAGGGTGAGCGTAGGCCACATACTGGAGTCAGGAAAGCGTTTCCGGACCGCCAGGACGCTCGTCCTTATATAGTACAAGATATTCGACAGCGCAATTAGTTTAACTNACGCTCGTCCTTATATAGTACGACAAGGCATTTGACAGCGCAATTAGTTTAACCACAACCGTTTCCCAGGCTTCAGATGCTGTTTGACATTTAGTAAAGGTGTATTAGCTGTCATCATTTCGGATAATGTGACTAATTCGCCTCGTAATGAGCTGCCATTTTATTTTCTGGCTTCAAAAATTTAAAAAGAAAATCATGTAATAGTTTAATGTGAGCACGTAGTGTCTTTCAAAATGTTTGCACATTTCGATGTATCATAATAATAAGTACAAATATAGTATCATTTTAATTAAAAAAACGACGTTACCCTCTGACTCTCATCCAGTATCTCCGGAATTAAACGTTACATGTAATGTATCCTCAAACGGAATACTTTCAGTGAAACATTTTTTTTTTGATGTTTTTGGGACACTGACATTAATCACGTACGACAGGAGCAAACAAAATGACCTTTGATGAATATTGATCTGTGTGAACTCAAACAATTCTGAATTGTATTCTGTTACGGGTTCTTACGAATGCAAAGTTATGCAGTGCAGTGTAATGCGTTAGAAAATAACATATTTGAACTTTGGGTATTTGTCTGACAGAATCAAAACATTCGGTATTCGTCGGTTTAGTATAGATATTTAAGTACGAAATAAGGCACCAGCAAAATAGTTGTCATGTCAATTTACCACTATCTACTTCTGAAGGCATTTGATAAAAAATATTGACGAAAATCGTTTTAGGGTGATTACAGAACAATGTGAAAGATAAAAAGGACGTGCTGACATAAATTGATGTGCCCTGCGCCAAAGGTTATAAGCAAATGACCCCCTGAGAACAGCCCTGTCTGTTTGTAATCATGATATTAGATTACCGGAAACTGACGTGAGAAACCTTGGCTGTAGGGAAATTTGTTGGGTTAATATAAGTGGTATGATGCATTGTGTGTAGTTTAGATAGTGTGTGTAATTTACATAGTTAGCTATAGTTCCGTAAATACGAATTATGCGTCCGTGGGTGTGTACCGGGGAAAACCGCGAGAGGTCAACACGATGGGTGTTTAAATCCGTGGAGGTTATTTATTCATAGGCAATATAAATTCCAACTGGACAAGGGCTAACCCATCATGAAGCTAGCGCACCTCATTGAATTAGCCTTTGATCAGTTGGAATTCATATTTCCTATGAATGCCAACTGAAAGAAGTTTAATACGTATATTTACCATTTTTGGAATCTGTTCACCTCATAGAAAATTCAATTACACTTATTAGTATTCAGCATTTAGTTCAAATAATGTCTGTATCGTGTATGTGTTTTTTTTAATGAACAGAACAGCCATCGCCCGGGGAGGGTCAGTGGTACCCAACGTAATAACTATGACGCCATAATAATAATGATGACGTCAACAATCGGTCCATGGCATTCATAGCTGATATGAATACCAACTGCATTTTATATGGTTATATAGTGGCAATGCCATACGATGGTAAATATCTTGTACTGACATATAAATGAGCTGGCTTTCCCTGTACCAAAGGTAAAATGTGAATGTCTCCCTGAGACCAGGCCAGTTTAAAGAGCTGTCACCTAGAGCGAACAGAAAACTGTTACCAACGCTAACATATCTGCCAAAGGGCAATGTTTTGGATGTTTAATACAGCTCCTTGATCGTGATTACTTGTATGCTAATTCATTCATTTTTATAATCAATATGTTTGTGACGTTGTTTTAATATAAATATATTTTACGAGTGTGGTGTTGTAATACTGCAATTTAATTATTATTCCATGTGAAGATAGCTTATTTTAAACATGATTTCGTCTGTCAAAAACCTGCTCGACTTAAGATTTTTTGTGCAGATTACTTGTTTTGATAATTTTCGATTTTTTTGCGTGTGAAAATGAACCAGTTTAATCAAACATGTATTTGTTTATAACAAGTTTAAGTTAAGAACAAATTTGCCAAGAGGTGATTTTGATTCTATGTACAGTACCAATAAAGTTTTATGATTATGATTTCAAGTGTCAATGAATTCCTTCATTTATAATGTTTTTTATTGTGCGATAACAAGACGACATTCTCGGGTGTACCCTAACGGTCAACAGAAATGTATGCAACTGCAACATTGTACAATATATTTGTACAAGTATGTCTCCAGTCCTGCAGCGTGTGTTCATATTTACAGCACTTTTACGTTGAAAAAAACAACAGTTCTTGTAAACATTGGTGATAAAATCCCGTTAATGTCTGTAAATCTACTTTCGTAAAGACTTGTATACTTTATGTAGGTAATTTAATGTTGCATTGTCTAGTCAACGTACCATTTAAATTTTCACCAAATTTACAAAAGTATCGTCTACCAATATGGCTGTATCCATTGTTAGCCGTCGGTCAGCTTTTCCTACCTGCTACATGTATGGGCAGGTATAATTGCGTATTATGTAGTCAAAATGTGTAACCAACTTTACTTTTAGAAGAAAAGATTGCTATCTCATCAAGGTAATTATAAAGTATTTTATACAAACCTCGGTACGATTGACTGGCTATCCGATATAGCATGAAAATCCAATCACTGTTCGTTCAAAAGATGCTCATTGGATCCTTATTGGTATTTGCACAATGCTAACCTATTCACCCCTAAAGTCACATTTGAACCTTACCAAATCAAAGACTGGACAAGTCCAGTTTCAAATTGTAGGGGTGAATGAGTTAAGGTCTAGAAAATAAATTCATAGGAAAACCAAAAGTATTCAGAATCCATTTAATTGGCAAACGTTTTAAACAGTTATGTTTTGTGTTTATGCCACATATAGGAAAAGCTATAGTAAATTATAAACCTTCCTCACTTGATTGGTAGAAAATAGTCAACAAATTCACTAGTTATCAAAGTACATCACGATATAAGTCTCACAAGTAACACTTCCCTAAAGAACACATTTCCTCGTTCACATCTAGACGCAATCAATATAACACCAATGACGTATAGCCAGCCCTTGGTTGGAGTGGATTCATTTACAGAGGGTAAATTGCACGAATCATTTGCGAAATTGACACATTCTACAATAAAGCACGTTTGTAATTGAATTTATATCAGCATGCATAGTTTATGAATATGCATTCAGTATGCCGTAAGCAGTGTTTTCGTTTTTGCTGATTATTTTTGTGTGAAAATTTGGTGGATTCACCTGCGTCCCAGCGAACTGACAGCTACGTGCCTATTATTGTTGGCTTTGAGGAAGTAGTTTTCTGTTTTAAACCAATATTTTGAGAGGTTGGTCCAAAGGACAAAGAACACCAATGTATTATTGCGAAGTGTTGTCAGATTTCCCCTGTCATTTGTATCTTGGGAATTGTGATTACTCAACAAGATGTTAAAGATGCTTGACGTGCGAAAGGCACCGGGTCCTGATTTAATACTGTTCCCACCTCAATTACACTGCTCCTAACTTCAGGAACCATTAAACAGAACACAGGCAACCAGAATGCCATCCTCAGTATCCAGGGGTTACGCTCACTTTCACTCTCTGCACCCCTGACATATGCCATAGCCAATCGAAGGTGCACGCGGCTAGCTATTTGATTGGTGTCGGGTAAAAACATCTGACCAATTACTAGTCTGATACTGGTCATTCGAAGGAGCAACGCCCTACATCAAAGCCAGTAAGTTTTACCGTCACGCGACTGCGAAGTTCTTTTGATGTACATCAAATGATCAAACTGGTTTCTCGTCTCATCCACAAGGTGCTGCACACTGAGCCTTCGATTTGGTATGACATATTCCAGGAGTGTAGAGAGCGAAGGTGAGCGTAACCCTTTTATACCGAGGATTACATTATGGTTGCCTGTTTTCTTGTCATGTTAAATGGTTCCTGAAGTTAGGAGCAGTGCAATTGAGGTGGGAACAGTGTATGTAAGGTGAGAAACAATGTATTTGAGTTGTCAATAGCGTATGCGAGGTGTGGAGAAGTGAAATTTAGGTTTGGAACAGTTTTTGTAAGGCGAGGGACAGTGTAACTGGGGTGGAAAACGGTGTAATTGAGGTAGG